AATTACCCATAATAATAAATTCTTTATATACTTATTTAAATCGTTTTCCTAGTAATTTACTTTCTAATAACCATCTTCCTATACGATAACCAACTCACTGCAACTGCATCCTGTCCAACTCGAACCTTGTTCTAATGATAACCTATAGTATAATATACATGATCTACATAACCCATGCATAGTTATTTACAAGGCCTATACAACCTATACAATCTACAACCCAAACTACCTTAATTACTTACACATTAACAACCCAGACAGCCTAATTTTATGTATTAGAGAGAACCCATTATATTTTATTATTTTTTCTCAAAACATGTATTTAAAGGCTCAATTTTTGCCTTTCTTACAACAAGTCCATAACAAGTCCACTACGAATCCACTAATAAATACATAAATAATGTCGGATATGAAGCTTGGAATCGGATGATGCTGAGAATTTGAATTATTTTAATATAAAATTTAAAAAATTTTTTGAGCTATTCTTTTTAACTTTTTTTTAAAATTAGGTTAGAATTTAGGGTTAGAGTTTATAATAAAAGAGTATATGTGGATTTTAGTAGGGTTTATATCTTTAAATTGAGACCCAAATTCTCAGCATCATCCGATTCCAAGCTTCATCCCCGACAAATAATAACCAATCTTTGCCCCAAAATTCCTTCATGTAAAACCTGTTCCATCGGGCACGTGTCGCGACCAGAAATCCCTAACAATTTACTAACAATTTCGATAGTTTCGGGGATTTTCATCTCATTTGGCGACGGCGACAGTACCACTGGTCGCCCACATGAAGGAATTCGAATTCGCGCATATACGTCCGACTCCGTTCAAGTCCCGCCTAGTCCTTCCATCTGGCTCACAACTATTCCAAACTTAGTTCCCTGCTTCCATATATCGCCCTAATTTCGTAACATCGTTGTCCTATCGAATCCACGTCAGTCCCGTTCTACTGTTCCTTCCAAAGACCCGATATCATTTCGCTTCGCCGATTCTTTCGAAATATCACCCCAAGAAACCAGAAACAAATAAATAAATTAAAACCAACACCAAATGAAAAAAAAAAACAAATCAAAAGTCCTACTTATCTTCAAGACGCCGACCTGAAGTTCGAAGTTGAACCGTGCGGCAACGAAAAACCAAGGTCCACTCCATCCGGCATGGAAGTCTTGAAGAGTCCGGCCGATTTGGACTAAAACAAGAGAAAGTTTTTAAATAATAATAAAAATAATAAACACAAAAAGAACCAAAAAAAGCGAAAAAAAAAATACTTCCCTAAACGTCCAAGCAATGAAACCGTTCACCAACTCCAAGAAGTCACTTTCGTCTATTTCACCTAAAACAGATTCTACGCCAACTACGCCGACTTTAAATTCGATATTAGGCTTTACCAAACCTCTTCAAGTGGGGGATAGTTGTTTAGCACGTTGGTCGGGAGACAACCAGTTTTATTCAGCTCAGATAACAACTATTGGTGAAAAAAAAAAAATTTTTTTTTTACGAATGCATTGTTAAAAATTGTGACAGTTCATATAGCAACTGTACTATTCAAGGAACTTGAGCGATTTTCAAAGAAAAAAACTATTATATATTTTAAACAAGTTACGCGATCTATAATCTTGCGTATAATCATTAATTTGATTGGCTAATCAATACCACCCGGCCGGGTGATGCAAGAACCAAAACCGTTAATTGTACTACTTAATTGTCCAATCAAATATAACAGAAAAGTCATGTTATTTGCCAATTAGATAAAAGGATCAGGTGTAACGTGAAAATACGCGTCTTTTTAAAAAATCGCCTTCTGCGTTCTATCAAAAAAAATTCCTTGTGAAATTTTGGTATAAACTATGTCCTCCTTCGGCCTTATTCCTAACCCTAAAGATGAAACTTATTACTTTAAAACCTTTCGCTTAATTCGATTGTTTTGATTTTACGTTCCATCGATCTAATTGGCTAAAAATCACGTTCCGGAAAATTTTTTGTGGATGAATAAATTTTTTTTTACTACAAAGAAACAAAAGAATAGAAAAAAGAAGAACAACCCAATATGCCACGTAATACTCAAGGTTTAAGCAGCAAACATCCCATTAGAAGAAGGTAATAATAAGTATTAATATAATAATAAGATAATACGTAATAATAATAATATAAACTAATAATAGAAAAGAAGAAAAAGAAGTTGAAACATATAAAGAAGAGGGTAAAAAAAAAAGAAGTGTAAATGTGGAAAATAGATAAAAAAATGAAAAATTGAAGAAGTTGGAGGAATTAGAAGAAGAGAAGGAAAAAAGAAGAAAGAAAGAAGAAAAAAGAAAGAAGAAGGAGAAGAAAGAGAAAAAGTAATAGCAAAGAAGGTTTTGTGAATTGCAAACAGAAAAAGACAAATTAGAAAAAAGGTATAATATTATATTGGTAGAGAGGAATGTGTTGATGAGAAGAATGGATAGTAGGCGAATGTTGAGAAAAATGTATATAGAAGAGGATGCAAATGAAGAAAAAAAAATGAAAGACGAAGAAGAAATAGAGGAAGAAGAAGAAATAAAGAAGAAATAGAAGAAGAAGAAGAAATGGAAAAAGAAGAAATGAAGGAAGAATAGGTGGATTGGTAGGAGTTTAGGGGTTCAGAAAGAAGTAGAATGGATGAGGATTTTTAAATAAAGAATAAAATATTTTTCATTAAGGCCATTTTCAAGCACCTTCCTTAATGTAATTAGTTAGTGATCAAGGCAATGCTCAAATGCTACGATCAATTGAAATAAAGATTGCGATCGGTGCTCTTCTCCGATTTCCATTATGGCTCCAAAAAGTTATTCAGTTATCTAAAAATTTAGCACCCAAGACTTTGGTATTTGAAATTTGCCTTCAGCCATCCTCTTAACAATTTCACAAATAACTTATCATTGCAACAGCAACCATATTTGGCTACAAGTCATTACGGCAACAATCATATTTGACAACGCAACTTTATATAGATTCGTTAATGCTAAACGAAGTGATATCGAAACATAGTGAAGCATGAACATTATTTTAATAAAATATAAGTTATATGATATATAAAAAATTAATTTTTATTCTTTGAATATTAAACGTCTTTTATTTGTTATAAGAATAGAATAATTTTTGGTAGCGATGACGTCTTGTTAAGATCCATATTACGAAAAAAAAATAACAATAAAATGATAATGTATTTGAGCTTGAGCAATCTCTTTGATTACTCTGTCAATGATAAATTTTAACCATTCAGCGCAGCTCTATGAAAAAAAATTGGTGGTCGCAGCTCCAGGTTTTTTTGACTGAAATGATGACCACGATCAATTTTTTCAGCCAATCAAATCGTTCGGTTAGCTTATTGAGGTAGGCGCTTGAGAACGGGACACCCGACTGAAGTTGCAAATTCAGTTGACTTAAGTTACATCTATCTAAAATTGCTACAGGATGAACTAATTTTAGGGCTAATTTCAGTCAAATGTAACTTCGGTCGGGTGTCAACTTTAGTCACATCACGAAATTGTTGTTAATGGTAAGGTTAGTTTAGATAGGAAAAGGGCCTGTATAGGGTAATATTAAAAGGGTAATAAATGTAAAATCATCCCTCTACATTTTTAATTAATGCTCCAGAACACTCGTTTTTTTATTTTATTGCCAAACTACACTTAATCTACAAAAACTAAACTCAAATAAATTTGAAATCAATGGGTTGATTCAAGAGATTTGTGATTTTGATTGGTCGTAGAATCTCGTGATGTGACTGGGTTTAGTGATACGAATGGCTAGAGCTGAGCCGTGAGCTGAATGGCTAAGCCGAGCTGATCATCGGCTTGGCTATGGGTTTACTAATAAGGTATCGGCTCCAAAAATGACTTGGCTAAGACAAGCCGATCATCGGCTCACATATGGGTCTACTAATAAAGTATTGGCTCCAAAAATGGTTGACTATTAGCCAATAGTTAGTAGATAATCTAGTATCGAGACTCAACTTTATCACGCTTTTTTAAAAAACTATTTCATCAAAAAAAAAAAAAGCTAATGCTGCAACTAGTTAAAAGATTTTCTAACTGGCTAAATAAAAAAAAATCAAAGTTTCCTCAAATGCTAATAACTGTTGTATAGTGATCGGCTTATAAATGGCTTGGCTTGAGGGTAATCAGCTTATAAACAACTCGGCTCTGGATGTAGAGTCGAAGGATCGGCTCAGCTTAGTAAATGTTAGCTATGAGCCGAGCCGAGCCGTTCATATCACTAACTGGGTTGGCTACATATAGGCTAACTTTCTCATGATTGGTCAATTTTATTCAATTGAATTTATACAGTTTAGAGTACTTTTACAACCCCTGATAGTAAATTTTTTTGTTTTAATAATTAAGAACCGGTTAAACTATTCTCAAAGACTCTTCGCAAAGAAAGCTTTAAGTATCTTGTGTATCTCTAGGATCCACCACATCTAAGTATACCTCATTAAGAAATGGATTTCAACCTTGAGGAACGACAATGTGCAGTAATCGTGTGTGCTGAAGCTTCTAATCAGCCCTTAAAAAAGGTTACTGACTTTGTTCTAGAACGGGCTCAGCAAAATAAAACTTTACCAGCTTACTTAAAAGTCAACGATATGATATGCCAGCGGTGTTACAATGGAATAGTTGTTCGACCTTTGGCTGTGATGAAAGAACATGCTCAATCTGCAGGTATTGAAGACTATCTCGATACAGTGGTTGATACTCAGGAGGATATCTTGGAGGTAATGTCTTTTTCAAATGTAATAAAATTTATGACTGAGGTTTTATATCAGCGTAAAGTTACTCAAAAATTGTTAACATTTTGGATATTTGAAGAATTTCGTACCTGCATGGAAGCTAAAGATAGGCATTTGAAAGCTTTTTTTGATAAACTTGTATTATCAGCAAATTTGTCACAAAAAAAGTGTGAATCGTATCCTAAAATTATGTCCCAGTTGCTACTCGTTTGTTATATTCTTTGTAGTATACGTAACAAATTTATTATTAATGTAAAGCATGATCTAGCTCTTTATCTTGATTCTACAGGCACAGGTGATTTAACTATTAATGCTTTAGCAGAACTCAGTATTACATCAACGTCTCAAACAGTTTGGCGTAAAAAAAAAGAAATTTCAGAAAGCCATATGGATACAATAAACAACTATTTAGAAAAATACTGTGAGACTTCTATGGTCTTAAACGTGGACGATTATCATAATATATATACAAATCGTGTTCCAATGGGTAGTGAAATGTCAACCCCAACTCATATAGCAACAATTCTTCTGAATCCAATAAATGCAACATTACCAATTCCTATTAATTTTAATGGTATAAGCATTCATAATCCAAAGCTTATTGATGCTGACTCTCTAAAGGTTGATTTAGAGAATAGATTTATAGAATTGTTAGAAATGTCTTTTAATGAACGATGGAAAAGTCAGGTAAGTAAAAATGAAGAAGAAACTATGGAAACATTAACGATTCATAGTTATAATCTTCAGCTTAAAGAAAAAATGAACGATCGATCATTAAATAATATCATTCTCATCGATCTTATAAAAAATAATCTACATTCTATTAACGATTATTTGGAAAGTTTGTCTATTATTAGAAAAGTGAATACTATGTGAGAATATTTCGATTCAGGTTATATAATACCCCTTGTGGCTGATTGGCCTGGTCAAATATTTTTAAGAAGTGTGATATCACGGTTTCTAACGTACGGTGATAAGTCTAATATTTCTCAAGACATGTTATCATTCATTCCTATCATCGGACCGTTGCATATATCCTTAAACAGCCGTGAATTTGTTTATATACAGTATCAACCATTTTTCTCTTTATTATATAATAATTTATTTGAGAAAACAAAGGATCTTAGAACTAATATTCAACCCTAGAAGATTAATTTGCTTCTTGAGGTAACTCATCGTGGCTGGCTTCGAATTTCAGATATCGTTAGAAAAAAATTCACCTATACAAAGATCTTGAATACTTTACATTCAAGGATTTGTTGGATAATTTAATTCCACTTGTCCTTGATATATATGCAATTTTTTTTTGTACCGGTAAATAGGAAGAATATGAAGAGTCAATAATACGAGTTTGGCTACTTTTTTTATAGTTTTGTCGTCATAATTATAACAAGGTGCCACTAATATTTTTATCTGATGTTTCATATTGGAGAAATATTAACCATCCTATTTTAGAAATTTTAAAAGCACATTTGCCAAAATTTTTGAATGTTTTTGTCGAATTATTTCACAGCCTTTTGTGACGAACTACTTAAAAGCATGATGGCGCAGATCACTTACAACGTCAAGCACATTTTATTAATTTTTTAAAATATGAAAAATGTCTTAAAGAGTTATTTGAGCATCAATCTATGTAGAAAAAATATCCTTTAAGTCACAGAGATTTAAATAGCTATATACAAAAGGCAGCATGTTTTTTATTAGAGTGGTTTATTAACATTTACAATCAAATTGCTACAGATAGTGTAATGGATTTAAATTCAGACAAACCAGAAATATTAACCCAAGGAAAAAAAAAAAGAAAAATCGTCAACGGTTCCAATATATCTATGCTGGCTATTGGAATTATTGCGAATACTTGTCACCTTCCTTTGGGTTTTAGTACTTTGCAAAAACCTAACCAATCTATTTTGTGTGATTATTCATTATGTACTAAAGCAGATATTCATGTATTTACTAATCTCTTATCTCCTAATTTAAAAATACT